CCCACTCGCCGGGAGGCACATCATGGCGGAAGCGGCGCCAGCTGAGTCCGCTAGACCTAGCGGGCCGTAAGCCCCTCCCACTGGTAAATACCTGCCACTCAAAATTTGCTGCTCGACATTCACGGGAAAGGTGAAGGACGTTGAACGGCCCTCGACGCGATTTTGCGAACATTGTTCTCCCCCCTCCCAGAGATAATCCGCGTAGAATCCTCAGTTATCTCCAAAAATAGTTGTCCGGGTTGGGGTGAGAAATGGGTCAGTCGCGTTTGTTTCTTTGCCTTGGTGCGGTTGTGAAAAAAGGAAGCTCTCCCCGAAACGTGCCCCAAAACGAAGTCACCTCGGATTCCGTGCGATCGTCAAGATGTGACTGTCGTCGACTGTGACTGTGTTATTTGAGATCGTTCTCAAATAAATTATTTTCGAATAACGCTGCGTCGTGTGGTAGGTACGATATATTGTTCGAATATGAACACTTCCTCAATTGTATGTCCGTGTCCTGTCCATAGGTAAACATGTTATTTGTGAGTGTGAAAAATGCATGCGTTTCGGCCCTCTTCAGTTGCAATTTATTTTTCACAGCAAAACGCTTTGTCGTTTCACATGCGGCGAATCCCGCTGCGCCGTCAAAACTTATCATAAGAAAAAAAAAATAACTGGAACTATACATTCCAGTCGCATTCGTTCTGTCGCGCGCATACCCAACAAAAATAGTTAACATTTTTTTGTTGCTTTTTTGTTTTTTCAAATGTGGTACAATGCTTTCTCAATGTCCTCGGCAAAATACATGTACCATGAGACACAAAATATAGCGGGAAAAGGCGATAATTTAGCCGCCAGCAGCGTTTGAAAATGCGCCTACGCAAGCTGCGCCTATTGAAATCACAGTCCACTCGGTTAGGGTTAGGAGGGACACCGGTGAGAGTCTAGCCTCAAACTCAGTGACTGGGCTCGAAAACGGTTGGTTGCCCCTGGGGTCGAGTGTTTTTTGGAAAGGTGTATAGGAAGTATTCACTGGCGGCCGTAGCTGTGTGCGCGACTGCTGAGCGCGTGCTGATGGCTAGCTTCCAGGGTTCTTTTGCAACGTGCTTTCCACACCGTCAAAATGGCCGGTTTTAGCAGCCTAATAATAAGGGCTCGTTCTGAGCATGCGCTCTAGACAGCACCCACAAATATGGCGCCCAGTGAATACTCCTTATACTCCGTTTCACCTTATGTTGTACCGCAGCGAAGGTTAGAAGCGCGAGCTCATGGCGTTGGCAGCAGCCCTTAGTGCACGAGAGCTTGTGCCACCGACACGTGCCCTAAAGCAAGGAGCTCGCGCTTGTAGCCTTTCCTGCGGTGCATCATAAGGTGATATAGAGTATAGCATCCGCTGAGGGCCCTGTACATGTAGGTTGCCAGTTCCTCTCGATGTCTGAGGCTGACCGCAAGAGTCAGCCACTCGCAGGTGTAATGGTATGGTTGTTCCGGGTTATGAGGGCAGTCCCACTGAAGGTGCTCCTGGTCGAAAGGGGTAAGGCGGTGGGAGAGAAGAGGGAGAGGGGCATCTGAGGTGCGGCAGAGTAAGTGGAGTCAGCCGCAGGTAGGCTGAGGATGGGGAGGAGGGAAAACACAGCAGGAGGCAAGCAGGTCGTCTAGGGTAGAGAGAGGAGGGGGTTGGGTTTGAGCCGCAGGCGTCAGCAGGGGCCCGGAGGAGCGTTTCGCGGGAAAGCTGATGAGCGTGTTCGTTCTCGGCAACGCCAGTGTCACCAAATATCCAATGTAGGTGAATAGGCCCTCTAACATTGCATGTGCAGAGGAGAATGCGACGCCCTGAGCGAGGTGAAAGCATGCCGACGTCGAGTCCGTGTAGATGTCAGCGGTGCAGCCGGGGGAAGAGTTTTGAGCGGCAGCTAGTGCGAGAAGTTCGGTTCGACGGGGGAAGCGCGGTGCTGTGTAATAAAATGGTTCCTGCCGTGTAAAGTGGTTGGATGGATGAATGAATGCTAATGGTTGTACCCTTTATAACGGTCGGTAGCTTGCGCCCCCTAGCGTAGACACCAAACGTATGATTCATCCCCTCGCCCTTCTAAACCAATTTGTTCCCCCTCTACACTTCTCAAAATATCACTAGGCAGTGTGGTATATCGCCAGGATGACCTTTGGGGGATCGGGCAGAAAAAAAACTAAAAACATCGCTCCCACCCCTTCCCCCGACTTCCTTCCCCCGGCGAGGGAATCGCCAATTTTCGTCTTGTCAAACCTAGTCAGCAACAGTTGAACACCGGACCCAATGGGAGACAGAATTGAGACTTGAGGTCGGAGCCACGCGGGTGGGAACTCGAGTGCACCAAGGTTGCCTTGAAAGGCTGCGTCGGTGAAAACATGATAGTTTTCGGGTTCTTGAGCAATTTTCTTGGTGTAGTTTGCAGCGCGAAGGAGACGGCGGGTGGGATTGCGTTCCCACGGTGACGTGTTGAAGGATTCTGTTGTCTTGGGGAACTGGGTGAGGCCGTGGAGGACGAGGTGGCCCGCAACGGTTAGCGAGAGGCGTTGATGTTGATGAACGCGATGAGTATGTCAGTGATGTCGGAGACTGTGAGTAGAACGCCGAGTTGGACCAGTCGGACGGTACTAGTGGCGATGGGGAGATCCAGGGCGATCTTCGCCTTACGAAGTGTGTGTGAGGGATACATATGGGGCTTGATAGCAAATGCTAGATATTACGAGGGCGTCGCGAAGTCTAAGGAGGTCTTGTTCTTTGAGACCCCTAGTACGTGTTGCGAAGCGGCGCATCATGTTGAGGATGGGTGCAGCCTGGCGGAAAATGTGCTGTACGGCGACTGCGCCTCCCCCGTCGGGTTGTAAAGGCCCAGGACGACCTTCGAGGGTCTTCTGAGGGCGAATGTGTGAGCGAGATGCTGGAGGGTGCCAGTGGCGGGAGTGGATGAGGGACAGGGAAGTTTTTTCGAGAGGCGAGACCAATAGTGTGGGCTGCTTGTTCGACAGCTTTGAGGGCAGCGTGAAAAAAGTCTTTTGTCCAGAGGCCCTAAGCTGGACACTTGGCGAAAACGTCGGCGAGAAATCTGGCGGCCGCAGATGGCCAACGACACACTTGACCTTGGCGTCGGCCAATCATAGCCGCCGGTTTTCTCGCCGACTTTTTCGCCAAGCGTCCAGATTAGGGGCCCGGGCTGCCATTGATTAAAGCAGATAGTGACATCACAGCATAAATGAGTACCGGTTGTCAGGAAGGGTTCGAAGGGCACGGTGGATACTGCGCATGGCGAGACTCAATGATGTTGGGGACAGGACACCCCCTAAGGGATGCCTCTCTGTGGGTGAAAAACTGCATAGAGCTAATGTTGGCCGATTTGTGGGGTAAGGGTTTAAGCGATGCAGTTCTTATAAGATTTTGTTTTCGGACGAAGAAGTGATACTTTTGGCAATTGAAACGTGTGCGTCTTGAGAGGGTAACGTACCGTGATATTTCAAAAGATTCCCCACCCAACAAAGATAACCCACCCTATATTTAACATGATCTGCTACTTTTGTTTTTTCAAGAACACCGAGAAATAGTTTGCTTCTAGTAATTGCAGTGCCCTGCCATTGGTGACTTTGGCCGACAGTTAGTTAGCTACGGCAAAAGATAAGAAAACGTTGCTGACTTGCGCGATTGCCCCCTCCATGTGAAAATAACTTTGGCAGGTGGACAGAATACAGAAATGTCATTTTTTATTTTATTTTCCTCCATCGTTGTTTTGTGGGACGCGTCAAGATGCACTCGCGGCGATGCTGACTCAGGTTATAGGCGGCGCTGAAAAGTTAGGCGCATTATTCGTGCGTTGCACGAAGTAGTTATTACAAGATTTTGTTCTCGAAAGAAGACTCGGTGTTCTTTTGGCTTTGACTGATTGAGAGATATTTATTTGATTGAGGAGAGCCGCGGCGCCGCAGAAATGCACGTTGCCTTCTACCAACGTTACTAGAACAACTCAGTTGGGAAACTGCCCTAGAGCCTACTCTGAAAAGTGGCACCGACCCTTACTCGAGAACCCAATTAATGGCGACCGCAACGCCGCCATTTCTCTCGCAGCGGCCAGACGGGAAACCGCACGTCTACTTGCATTGTTTCGAGAGTATCGCATTCGATAGCGTCCGCTATGACTGTTTTCAATTTGGCTTTAAGCGGCCATTTTGGCGCCGAAACATATAAGGTGGAAGTGGTTTCAGGGATGGCGGACGCGCCGCGAATTACTACCGAAGTAAGGACGCGCCCAGGTTGGGACGCTCTACCTGAAATCATCGGTGGGACATGGTTCTATAAAAACATTATTAATTGTGCCGTAAAACTTTGTAAAATAAGGATAAACAGCACGCGCCTGTTATTTTGTAGTGATCTTCCATAAACGTTCCTACAAAACGAGTTTTTTCCCGTTTTTTCTTACGTACAAAACATGCTTTTTAAAAGCTTATGGTGACCACAGTAAAGAAAGATTGAGCCGCCGTCTTGAAACCTCGAGCCTGGCAGTTCCGGTATTCTGGGAACATTCAGCGACTGTAGCAACAGCCATATAAAACAACTTTAGTGTTTCAACTCGTCGCTAAAGGGTGGGGCTGTAATCGTATTTAGCTTGATTTCGGTGGACGCCAGCGGGCCAGGCTTCAAAGGTGGGTTTCCCAACTGAGTGTTCTTACCGTGAAGCCCTGAGGGCCCTCTATTATGTGGATGATGATGATGGTGTGTGGGAAGGATGATGACGATGATGGCGTTTGAAAACTTGTACGCCTTGGTCAAATAACGGTAAGCTAATCTAAAATTCACCCACATATATACCTTAATTCGCCACATATACAGGGAGTAAATAAATAATAACCCGCGAGAAGACGAACTTTTTTTTTGACTACGGTTAGTGGGTTGAGCACGAGATAACAATGTATTTTGGGGAGAGAAAGGAGGGGGAGGGGGAAGGCGCAGCCATGGTATTCGAGGGTGTATTGGCTGAGCAGGCGCTTCTCACCCAGTTCTATCAAGTGCTTCAGTAAACCGGTGTCGTCGCAGTCGTCCGTCGTCAGTTTCCGGTACGTTGCCAGGTACAGGGGCGAGTCTCCGCTTCGGGACCTGGCTTTAACGTCGGCACCTTAAAAAACAAACAAAAAAAAAAAAAAACAAAAAAAAAAAAAAACGCAGTTTTTTTTCAGGATAGGAGCATTTGCTTAATTTTTACAGTCACTGATTCTGAATTAGTAACCCAAATTACATGTCCCAACAACTTTGTAATGCGTTAGCATCAGAATTAACGCTCATCTTGACAGAAACCCGGCGGTGTCTTTCGTTTGTCAGCGCCGGGGAGAGAGGGAAGAGGAGGACGAGAGGGTAACGCGTGCGATGCTATCATTGGTCCGAAGAGCTGACGTCGGCACGCGTCAACCTCTCCCTCTCTCCCCGGCGCTGACAAACTGACGGACACCACCGGGTTCTCGTCAAAACGAGCCCATTCGTTTTCGGCGGTCACGCTCACAGCCGGCGTGGAGCCAGAGAGGAGGACGCGCCGCGGCGCGGTGGAATGCGGGCGTGCTCAGTTGCCGCTCGGCCGTCGCCGGTTGTTGTTCTTAGCTCTGGGTTTCCGTAGTAGCGGTGTATGGGCTGTGATGTGTGAGTATTGTTAAAACGATGGATGCTGTTCCCTCTCCGAGTGTTATGGATGCGGTTCCTTCCGCCAGTGGCCGACCGTATCCAAGGGCGTCGACGTACTCTGACAGGCAGAGTACAGAAAGAGCGTGAAAGAAATCACAGGAAGATCCATTGGTGGATTCTTAGGGAATTCATTAGCATGACCCTTGGGAAACGCCACACACGTCCCGCTTTAAGAAACTCTGACACTGACCCCGTAACGAGGCCAAATGAGGCTAAAAAAAATAGAGGAAGCAAAAGAAAAAGCCACAACAAAAAAGTGAAGTGGTCAGCGTTAGCGATTCCCAGAGGGGCACGTGTGTGAAGTTTCGCAAGAATCATGCTAACGGATTCCCCAAGAATCCACCGACGGACATTCTTGTATTTAATTGCGAAGTTATTGCATTTTCATATTTGTTCCGGGAGGCTCTTGTGGCAAACGATAATGTTGATAAACATGCAAGCTGGTTTAGGTTACACATCGTTCGAACCGGAAGCGACGGAAATGAAGGTACGAAAGAGGCGTCTTGTTTGTCCTGTCCCTTCTGTCTTTTCCGGTTTCGACTACATCTACTGGCAGCACAGAAAACACAACGTCAATGTTTTCATATGGGTGCAGCTTGTTCCCAAAGGGTTACAGCAAGTTTGATGGTGTCAAATGGTGGGGGAGCTCACGCCAGCAAAACAAAAAGACACGCACTGTTTCTTTAGACTCCCTGCTCGACCTGCTAGACATGTGACGTCACCCCACCGGGGGCGCGGGAAAGTTGGAATTCTGGGCGTAACCGACGCGAGTCTCAGCCAGACACTGCGCAACCTGTGCCCTTGCCTCGGGCAGGCGTCATAGAACCTCCAACGGCCTTGTTCTGAGCATGAACTCTTGGATGTGGGCTAGTTGGTACATATTAATTAAAAAGATTAAAAAAAGCGCGACCGAAACGAGGAGAGAAAGACGCGAAGGCAACAGGACAGATAACTCTGGACCGATTTTTATTCAAGGTCGTCGTCAGATATATACACACTCTTCTGCCCGACCCGCCATCACAACCAATCACCACTTCCACGTACAGCCATCCAGAAGGGTCACTTCTTTTTATTAAGTGAATACATTTGATGGTGCGCTAACACAATTGTCATGGCTTTTTTTTTTATCAAAAAACGACTCAATAATCTGTCTCGGTTTTATTTTTTGCTTTCTTTAAAAACTTCGTCGATTCCAAGCAAGGTTTACAGCCACGTCGCCTATAATGGTCAGCAAAATGCCCCCCCCCCCCCCCCCCCCCCCCGGTCCGCATAGTCGCGCACATGGAAATTATGTTCTCGTGTTAAGATAAAATCGGGGAAGAAATTTTTTCGGCGCTTTTATCAGAAAAGATGGATGACAATTGTGCTAGCTAGGGCACCATCTAATTATTTATTTAAAAAAAAAGTGTGAGTTTCTGGATGGCTGTTTGTGGGATTGTCATCGGTTGTGATGCGGGTCGGGCAGAACAGAGCGTATATGTGTGATGATGACTTCAAATAAAAATCAGTTGAGAGTTACCGCCTGTCCTGTTGTCTTCGTGTCTTCTACAACGTGTCTAGAACATAGCCGCCAATGGCAAACCGACAACGCTGGAAGCTTGGACACACCCAAGAGGCGAAGAAGCACACCGAAAGGCGATTCAGGATTCCCTGGTTGAGCTCATCGGAAAGTTCAGCCCCCCCCCCCCCCCATCCCCTCGTCTCAGGGCATGAAGTGAAGACGTATTTGTTATGATCCCTGGTAATTATTTTTTTCATAAGCGTTCCACCGGACTTGAACCCATAAACGAGAATATTCATTTTTATTAAAAAAAAGTAATGTCTGCAATTGATCAATGTTTGTCCTCGTTTTGTTCGCGCTTTTTTAACAGTGTAATTAACTTGTTATGAGGTGTTTCTCTGGCAGCGTTAGAGCACCCGGGGAAAAGCGAGTGAAACACCGGACCCCAACGAAATTGAGACCGCATATGTGCTCGAATTCCAAGTAAAATATATCGGTGTTTACCCGGCATAAGGCCCGCTGACCCGACTCTTCGCGCACTAAAAAAACAAAAAAAAAAAAAAAAAAGCGCCGACAATAAACGGCGAAACGAATTGGCGGGACACGACAAGCCGAATCCCTCCCGAAAGCATTCGTCAGAAGATACGAGCTCGATCCACTTGGGCCTTTGTGCTGAGCAGGTGCTGCGTTGTTCACGCAGGTCGGATTGGCTGGGTTAGGATTGGCTAGGCTAGAATTGCCTAGGATTGGCAGGAGAACGCGAGCCGTGTCCGTACGCTGACGCAATGTTCGGCTGCAGCAGCCGAGCGCTGCGTCATCGGTGTTGTTATCATCCCCATGGGTGTAGTTTTAAAGTTAACCGCTGGAGGCGCAGCGGCTGAATCTTCTAAGCTGGCAGTGCAGTGGAAGCTAAGTCTCCGTTGGGCCAGTCGAACGCCTACCTTTCGCCATGCGACCACGCTCCCATTCCCCCGCGCAGGGGGCGGCCTCAATTGATAGAGGCGACTGATTGGTTTGGCGAGTGCGTGACCTTAGCGTTGTATACACTCCGTGCGACGCGACTGGCGCGCCGCCGCGCGGCCGGTACCGAAGGTAGGCAGCGAGAACCCCAGAGAAAACGAAACCGAAACCACGCCGCGTACGTTGGTACGCATTGAAGTCGGAGTGATGCGGTTGCGCTGGGTTTACAGCATGAAGGGCTGCCTGTGCTGCGTCATTAAGTGCTTCAATAGTTATGCGTCGTATGTCGTGGAGACAAAGTTTCACAGTTTTTCACCTCGCCGATGTTTCGTGGGAAAGCGACAACGATGGAGCCGTGCCGTACGACGCGAGAAATTTGGTCTCCCGATCATGTCTGCCACTGTGTCGGCAGGGCTAACATATTGTACACTGCCGCTTTGCGCTCTGCGTTTGTTTTCGTACCAGTAACGCCTACATGTGTCAGCGCCGATGGGACGAACTGAAATGCCATCCGACACTCGTGGGTATGCAGTGCCAGTTTCGTTGGAGGAGTGCCCTCCAAAGAAGTTTCGTCCCTATCGTCCGTGTCGATGATATTTCGGGACAAGTATGGCACGCAATCTGTACTTCATGAAGAAAGATTCGAACGGTAAAAAAAGTGACAAATGTAAATCTAAAGGAAACAACAATGAAACTCGGAATCACTGGAGAATCGACGTTTGAGTATGGAAGTTTATGTGGTGTGCTTTCTTTCTTGATCAGCCTCCTTTTGGATGTGGAAACGCTGACACATCGAGTTCTGTAGACAACAATTTTTTTTCTCGGCTTTAGAGCCACCTATTGCAAAGTGGTTCGAACTGGAATTACCATCCACTGGTCCCTTCCTACCTGTAAAGTGTGCACCTCTCACGATGAGTGGTATTATCTGACAGCCTTTGACGGTCAAAGACAGTTCCCATTTAGTTACGCCGCCCAAACTAAATTTCCACCTGGTTTCGCTATGCCAACTCTTTTTGTTATAATAAGTGTTGTGCCAAGTGACGGTCATGTCAAAGTACCTGTGCGCCCAAAATCAGCACCTCGCACAACAGGTTATTACCCAACAGCAGACCGCAAAAGCCCTTGGCGGCAAAACCGTGTTTTGGCCGACAACTTTGTTTTCTCGGCTTTGGAACCACCTTTCGTAAAGCTGTTTCAATTGGAAGTACAGTCCACCCTAGACCCTTCCTACCTCTAAAGTCTCCACCTCCCCCGACCAGTGGTATTCTCTTGACAGCCTTTTCATGGTCAAAACCGGTTCCCATTGAGTTACGCCGCCCAAACAATTTTCACCTGGTTTCCCTATGCCACCTTTTTTTTTGTATAATAAGTGCTGTGTCATGTTACTGTCCAGACCAAGCACCTGTGTGCCCAAATCTGCGCTTTACACAGCCCGCTATAACACAACATTTTGGGTCGAATATTGGATATCCCGTACAGCTTTATTTTTTTATTCGTTAGAAACATAACTGTCACACCTGCTGTCTTAAAGAAACTTGGCACTCTTCGTGCACAAACTTAGTGAACATCTCACTCGCCTCCAAATATCATCGTTCCAGCAGTCCTAGGTTTACAGCGACGAGCGAAATAAAGTTCCCACCCAGAGCAATCAAGGTGGCGGCCGTCTTGTTTTTCGGAATTCGGCCGCAACTAGAGAAATTACCCCTAATAACGACTCAAAATCAATATATAAGAAGTGGAGAACAGCTAGATGCCCTTCTTAGGTCTACCCCAGTACTCATGCAACATCACCCTCAACTTATCGGCTCAAAAAGCAAAAGTTCCGTCCGTGCGCGCTTCCGCCGCCACAGCTTGGCATGCGAAAAGGCGCCGCAGGCTGCTGAACGCGCCTCACAGTCGAACGCCAGCTCCTCCGCTAGCGGCGCTGCGCGCGTTTTTCAAAGCGCCCCCTATAGTTCCCGCACGGAGTGTATACGCGTAACCCTGTACAACATTGTGAGTCACACACGCTGTCACGAAAGCGAGGTGGTGGTCGACACTCACCGTTTTGGAGCATCCTTCTCACCACCGCTTCCTTCTTGCTCAGACAGGCGGCCTAGTGCAGTGAGGTTAAAAGAGTTGCAACGTGATTACGCAATCACTAAATGCGACAGCGTTCCTTTTGGCAGTTCATATTAGAAAGCTCTGCTCTTACACGAGACGGGCGCGCGAAGGGTCGGTGAGAGGATAAATCGACATTTCAGGAAATATGCGGCGCCCCCACCGCGCGTGCTTCGCGCATTGTGACATTCCAATTTAGGGCAGGTGAGATTATCCAGGAATCGAAGACGAAGTTGACGTTGGTTTAAAGGAAAGCTTAGCAAAAGATGTGATCTCCCTTTCTGTTCACTTTATTTTTGTGCGTTTTGCGCTCCTAATAGACAGAAAAAAAAAAAAATATTCATGGCTCTTTTTGGATATACGAAGCGTTCGAGTCGGCACGAGCAAGGTATCGTAAAATTTTTAAAAAAAATAAAAAAATAAATAAAAAAAAACTTTTTGAATGCGACTTTTGAACACACACACAAACAAATACAAAGATTTCTTTCGGTCCACCTTCTGCATGGGCGCGAGCAATATAGCGAAACCCGGCGAGTGGCGACCTTCATCGCGTGAAAATCATTGGGAATTAATTGTCCGAATAACTTTTTGGAAGCACTAAGGCTTCGCAAATGTAGGCTAGCCCCTGAAGAAAAATTGTGGTCATGTTTTGCTTCGTTTTTTTAGCGTTTACGAATTTTATGAAGGCCCCTCGTACTTGAACAGCAGCAGCAGGACCGCTCCCTCACCATAAAAATGCTCAGCCCCAGACCATCGATGTTGGAGTTGACGTCAAGGTGGTTTTTCTCGACCAGCTTCAGGCACTCCTCATGCTCCCGAATGTCTGGACTCTGGAGCAGAAGAGATTAAGATGGAGTCAGGATTTCGCCTTGATTTCGCGCACACCGGTTACACCCCGTTCATTACTATGCCGGGTGTAACAACGAAAGTTTCCGAAAATCCCCCAAAAATAAGATACAAAAAAAAAAAAAGAACCTTCGAAAAACAATTGCGGACATCAAAAACTGCAAAATAAAAAACACATTTTTTTATAGTCTTCTGTATGGCTGGAAATTGGCAGACCGCATCAATAACCCTGGTTTAACCGCTAGCCAAAATACCCGCTTTTTTGTTTACGTGGAGTTATTGAGTTTTTATTTGACGCCGGCCGCGTAAGTTCCAGGAGGCGGCTCTCCACTGGCAACATTGAGAAATGTCTACTTTTCTACATTCAACGAGATGGAGCCCATCACAGCATATCAATAGAAAAGGGAGTAAAGGAAACTGAGAGGAAAATGTGGGAAGAGAAAATGCAGGGGAAATCAGCTTTAACAATATACAGGGCACATAAACAAGAAATAAAGAAGGAACAGCTGTATGATAATTCAGTGGGGAGCTCTTTGCTGTTCGAAGCTAGAACGGGCGTGCTAAGAACGAAAACATATAGGGCTACATTCCAGGAAATAGACAATCTGTGCGACGTATGCAACCGCGAGAGGGAAACTATAGAACACTAAATTTAAGGTCTACTTGGCTTCGGGTATTTCACGGGGCACGGGTATTTCAAAAACTCATTTTTGAAATACCCGGGAATGCCAGAGTAATCTGGTCTGTACAGCTGAGTTATGCGGGAAAGGGGGGGGGGGGGGGGGGGGCATAGCGTATTCGGCTAATTGTCAGGGTCAGTCAAATCATTAACTAAACTTTTATCAATCCCTTTTGAATTTGTCAAGATAAACATAGCGTTTGAAATAGAAACTTGCTGATCGTCATGGAAAACCACTAGATCAGTCAATTGTAGAAATATTTTTTTTATTTATAGAATTGATTGATATTGTGGTTTTCAATGACGCGCAGATTGTCTTTATTTGCAACCGTGTTTTTTTTTTGCTAATCAAATAATTTAAAAAATCGATTAATTACCTGGCGTATCGTAACGATTAGCTCCCGATACCACATCCCCCTGGCCGTTTAACGCTCACACCGTAGTAGTTTTATTTTAATATAAATCTCTTCTAAATAAAATAAAGCGCCCTGTATGCAATCTGGAGACGTGAGCCCTGGCCACGATATGTTTAATTCTAACAGGTGCGAAGCGTGGCGAGACTCCAACATTCTATAATCCCAGCCAGTGAAATTCTGGCACGGATTCATAAGAACGGTAAATCAGGAAACAGAAGCGCCACCATTGCCGATCTTGAAAGGGGCCATAAAACAATTTTTTCTCCTTTCACTAAATACTATTTAGAATCACCCTCTAACGTGGATAACCGAATAAACTTGTCGTACTTCTTCTTTCATTGGCCATCGCCAAAATAATTCGAGAAATATGAGCATCCTTCATCCCCTGAACACGGAGCCAGAACAAGCCGCCACGTGGCCTGGTGGCTATCCTATGACGCCAACGTTAATCATAGCCACGCGCTGCGGTCGGCAAAGCAGAAAACGGGTGCTGAGCTCGAGCCATTGTTAGAGTTCGGTTATTCTCATCACCGCAGTGGTTGGACACGAGCCACTATCCGAGTGTCCGCCGAGGCTTTAACCATTACGAGCTGAAGTTGACTGCTCCCGCAGTTCTCGTGTTCAATCCATGAGCCACACTCGACTGTCGTCAGGCGGCTGGTTTGGATTCCACAATCACTTCATGAAGCTTCGCGAAGGCAAGACTGAAAGAAATAGTCCCCGTTTATCCTCGCAATTCCACCGCGACAAAGAAGCTCTTGAATCAGGAGCTTCTTTTCTCCTGATTCAGGTTATACCTGTGCCAGACTAGGACCAGTATGCCTCCGCAAAATCACGAACATTCCAACCCGACATCGTTTCAAGACCTCTTTTATATTTGATCCAGCGCCTGCTCTTCCAGCCTACACGAGTCATTGTGCGAAAGGCGACTGCAATGGGAGGCGTAAGCCGCGTCCAGGGGGCGAGGCGTGCTCAGCGGCAGCTTGTCAAAACCGCACAGCCGTTCTGTTCACCCCTAAGACGACAGTGTGGTGGAAGCTACACGCTCGCTGAACCAGTCATAGGTCCTTCTCTCGCCACTTGATCTCGCTCCCGGCAATATAAACAGGCGCAGAGCGTGGGGTCAGGTGATGAAGGGGAGGCTGCTGATTGGTCCGGCAAACCAAGACGGGTCCTCTCTCTCCTGCTGGCTGATGAGCAGTGGCATTGCGCCGAAGGGCATCCCTATCTACCATTTAGTTCCAGCTCCACTGTTTCAGCTCATAAAAGCCCGTTCACACACTTGCAACCGAGTAGGTCCGACTGAGACAAGACCGGTTTTTAGGTCTCTCGTGACGGCGTAGGATAGGATGCACTACTGCGGAGCAGGGCCTAAGCCGTCGTGAGAGGCCTAGAAACCGGTCTTTTCTCAGCCGGTCCTACTCGGTTGCAAGTGTGTGAACGGGCCTTAAGCCTTCTAGAATACAGTTCAAAATAGGAATAAAGAAAAACACCCCGGGAAGTAAAGAATTTATATTCATTGGAGATAACGTTATCTATCGCGGCGGACGGCAGGTAGAGGATGTGAGGTGATAATTACTTAAAATCCACTAACCTTCGCGGTTAAAAAGGAAAATCAACACTTACGCAGGCGAGTGCGAATGCCTCGTTTTCCTTCGTAAGCTGCTCCGATTTTTGCTTTTTGCGCTTGTTTGCTGAAGAGAAATGTATACGCAGACGCCATGAACACAATGTAAGTTCACGCGATGATATCCCATGTTCCTAGATATCAGAATCGTGTCAATAACTTTTTTTCTTTTTTTCAGAAAGAGAGGCATAACCATCCTGTGCATGTTTTTAATTTACCTCCCGAACTCATCGCTATGCTTTTTGGTCGGATCAATTTTTTTTTTATTTGCGTTATGACCTTGTTTTTTTTTTTTTATTTCGCCCTAGGACCAAGTTAATGGCTATGGCGGCCACTAGAAACAAGTCGAAATGGGATAATTAGTTGGCTAATTACTACAGCGTTTACATTCATTTTAACACTTTTGCATTTTGGGGGCGTCATCTAGCTGGAGAATCGACGTGCCGTTAAATATTTATCTGGAAAATTTGATCTTTTGCAAACGTGGCAAAGGCAGTGGTAACAAGGAATGTGATGCACTGGACGTCGCGAATCACGCGAATGGTTGCTGGGTGCCATCTATTACGATGACAATGTCAATGCGACTTCCGCAAAGCCTGAGAGGCAGTAGACGGAGCGCGCGGAAAACAGAACAATGAAAACGCGGCAGCGTGATCTAAAGCCCCTTCATGTTTCAAAAGTGGAGCAAGGTGCGTCGATGCACCAGGCACGTGCAACGTGCAGCCCTTGGGAAGATATAGAGCCACTAAATGAGCTGCGCTTAGAGTATCGGCACCCCGTTGCTCGACATTGTTGTGGGCGCCGCCATTTTAGGACTTGTGCAGTGCAGACGCAACTGCCGATCGTCATGAATCCAAAGGGCGACTTCCTCAGCATTAGATTCGGTGTTAGGAAGCTGCATTGCTCTGTCGCGAATTGTTGAAACATTCGTGGAGGACCGAAAAGCGTTTCCTGTGATTTCAGATAAAGTTTCAGATAACTGGCAACTATGATTTTAAGCCACAATATGGCCAAGTGTCGTTACTCTGAAGCGTAGCTTATGGCGAATTCCACAGGGCGTTTTGGAGCGCGCCGGGATCATTTGACCAGATCCGGAATGGAGCACGCGATCCGAACGGGGTCGCGCCGCCTACGGATCCTCAGTGGAACATGACCACTGCTCCGGGATCGGCGGATGCCTTCCCGTCATTCGACTGCCCGGGAATCCCCTTTCCGCGGCCGCCGCGGTCGTTTCGAAGACGTTTTCGCAATCGCGCCGCTAAAGGCAGGTTCAGACACTTGCGTTTGAGTGCGTTTGACTGCGTTGCGTGGAGAACAGAAAGCGAGTCACCGAAACATCTGTGCTTCGTATGAAGCGTGAAATCCAATTCAAGGAATCATCTTGGCACGAGATATAAGCAGCTGGGATGTTTTGGTTTCTCGCAGCCGCAACGCAGTCAAACGCAGTCAAACGCAACTGTCTGAACCAGGCTTAACACGTGTTCGACGCACGAGCGGCAGGAATGGCTCAGGAGCTTCTAGCAAAGATTGCCGGAATGCCCGTAGCGCGGCCAAAACCTTCTCTTCTCCTTCCTGGAAAACGAACCGGCTGTCGAGCCGAGGGGTAAGCAAGCGGCTAGATCGAGATAGACCTGTGCGCCGGTCAGAAATCGCCGGCGGCGGCGCGCCGGTGTTTGTACCTCCGGCGGCGGCGTGTTGACGGCGCGGGGATCAACGGACCGGCGGCGGCGTGGCGCGGAAGAGGGAGGGGAAGGCGGGGGGGGGGGGGGGGGGGGGGGGTGTAAATTAGACAGTGAGGGGGAGAGAAAGGAGTCGCTTCAATTTGGAAAACAAGATGCAAATACCATAAAAAGGAACACACTTTTTTATTTTACTTTTTTCTGGAGAGGTAGCCTTCGCTGTGAAGAGTGCGTCCGTTAGAAGAATCAGGTACTTCAGCGTCTTGTTTATTCTCGTTTGTAAGAGAATATGTCGCAGGCTGGCAGCCGCGGCCCAAGATCCTCCGCAAGACGAGGACCGACGGCAACAGGCATTTTATCACCGCGTTCCGCCTCACCACGCGCTTGTCGCACGCCCCGTACCCAACAAATCGACCGAGCACGTCCTCCGATTTATAGAACTCGTACTCATTCGGTACGCCGCAAGCCGTCATCACCGACAACGACAGGGTCTTAACCTCTCGTTCGGCTTCGCGGTACTTCGCCGACAGGCACATTCAGAGCATCCCTAACAGTACTTTACGCTCCCGAAGCTAACGGCTTTGTCGAACGCGCCAACGGAAAAATCCTTCCATGTCTGCGCGAAAGAAAGTCAACGGCGACATCGACCATTGGAGCGATTATCTCCAGGCAACCAGCTTTCGAGTAAACCAGCAGCCGTACGCCAGACTCCAGAAATCACCGTTTGAACTCCTGTTCAACTTTGTCCCACGTCGACCAATGGAGTTTTCCCCGCTTCCCGACGAGGTCGGTGACGTCCGCGCGGACTGCGACGCTGCAAACGCGAACCACGCTTACCTTCACGGCATGAAGCGTTTCTACGATGCAAAATATCGACCAGCTCCATACAGCGTCAGGGACAGGGTATGGTACACGAACGGCCTTCCTACCTCGAAACTTGGCCTTTAAGTCATCACCAACGTGAACAATCAAACCTACACCATTTCCAGGTTTACCCCGCAAGGCACACCGGATTGCCGCCAAGCTGCCGCACGATAGCTCTTTTTTTTTTTTTTTTTCACGAACAACCTGCAGCGATTGACGTCGATTTCAACCTCGCCTTGCACCGCAGCAGATCCTCCGATTACAAGCGCATCACGCCGACGCCACCCTCCACGATGGCTAGACGCATAACAGAGGATCATGACAACATTAACAAAATGTGCGAGGGCGCAAGGATTTTGAGCTCGGGAGTGTAAGCAAACACGCTGGCGTAAAAGACCCGTAAGGAGAGCCTCCCCTACTCGACCGGATGGGAGCTCGACTTCGACCCCCGATGCTGGATCCCGGCGTGGAAACGAGAAAGAGGGACCCCTAGAAACACGACGTGACACGAACAAGCCAGGCGTGTGGATCAAAATAAAATACGTTTGAAAGAAGCCTGAAAACGGACGCGAATATAGCCCTCTTATCAAATTATTTCACAAAGTTTTCATTAAATCGTTTTACGGTTTACAAAACCGTTCAGTCCGTTATAGCACTTTAAAAACACAGGCGAGCCGGTGAAGAACTTCCATACTAACGGGAGACACGAAACGATAAAAATAACGCACTAGACAACAAGTCTCAAACACATCTTTTATACCCGTTTTCAAGTCAAGAACTCTAGTAAAAAGAGTCCGACTCCTTGCGAACCACTACTAATTTCCACCTTTATGAGGAGAATTAAGATATATGTAGCTGGATTCCACTATATGTATTATCAAGACGTACACGTTCCAGCGCCAAAATCATTGCTTCTTTCTTCGACAACCAAATCTCGTAAGACTTTGCGTCGCGTATACGAACATCTTTGTTTCGTGTATGTGCTCTCCCCCTCTGTAATGCCTTCGGGCCCTGATGGTACTTTAATAAATAAATAAATAAATGCTCGAAACTTCCTTTTTTCTTGAAAAAACGGATGTAGCTTATTTAACAAGGAACGCTACTCACCACCAAAAAAGAACTTTTTAAAAAAAGGGTATCACCATACACCCTTTTATCCCATATAACGCACCCCAAAACTTTAGTTTGACGCACAGCGCACAGATGGCCATACATTTAACAAGGGGCTTGATAACGGAGCGATATAACTTCTGAAATAACTAAAGTACGTATCAAAGACCACAGAAAGAAAGCACTGAGGTTTTGCAGTAGGGCCAGGAAAACCTCGATTATCTTTTTTGTAGTCAGTAACACGTACATTAGCTATGTTAATAAGTTGTGCCACACGGCTATCAAGCCTCTCGTGAAAGTTAGTACCGTCAGATCGACGTCTGAAGTGCTGGGGTGTCTTATAGAAGACAAAAGGTGTAAGAATACACCCTTTTTTTAGAGTGTATACGTCACTGAAAGCCGGACACTCAGACAGATCCAAATGATTCATGGTCACACCAACCTGCCACCCAGACGACTCCGCTTGATGACTGACCAGCCACATGCGATAACAGGCAACTCCATCAGAACCCTTACTAAAGATACACGCGTGACGAGATGTCCCTAGACTCCCTACAGCGTTCAATTCGCTTAACGAGTGTCGATGAAACGATCGTGTCGACAAAACGTGTGTCCGTGAAACGTGTGCCTATGAAAAGTTGTCTGCGATACGTAATTCCACGAAACGAGTTTCGACGAAATGAGAGGGTCCCGTACACCACTCCTGCCTGAAAAGTTACATTTGGTTTCTTATGTTTTTTTTCTGGAGCCCCTGAATACCACCAGAAAGGGGGTTGACCTTTCTAATTTGTGCTGAGCTTGGTAAACTAAATTTACACCGAACCCATTTGCCACTGATATAAAGTTATGAGAGATTCCATGGCAGTAAGGCACACACCGTTCTTCACAACCGGTTTTTCCACAGGAGCCGGATTAAACCTTCAGCACCTTGAGCACAACTCTAAAAATTACATCGTGGTGATGGCCCGCTTCCAGACAACGCATCTTTTGCAACTCAACTGCCTCACCAACCCAAAACATACGGGATTCTTTACAGGCGTTATCCATCGCAGACGCACTTACACCACTCTTAACTATTTTCAAGTGACAGCTGTCAGCTACCAACATATAGACGCTGCCAGCAGAGGCTTGGCTGATTCCTTGCCGTACCTCCAGCACAGGCCCTTTTCCGTGTGCAACAGTAGGTATATAAGTACTTAATTCGACTGCTGCGATGGCAGGGTTCTGCAGTCCAATCAACAAGGACCGCACAACCGTGTCAACGTGTACATAAGTCTCGTTTAAAAAAAAAAAAAAAAAAAATCTCGGACAACACTGAAGCAGATCACGACCCGATACGTACACCCTGTTTTTGAATAAAACGCGAACCATCAAAGTCTACGGCAGTGGACTC